CAAGTAACTCGGACCCAAGCCATGTAGGGCTTTAAAGGTAGCGACCAATACTTTGTATTGTGCCCGGAAACTAATCGGCAGCCAGTGAAGAGCTTTTAACACAGGTGTAATATGGTCCGCCCTAGATGTTCCGGCAACTAGCCTGGCTGCCGCATTTTGAACTAATTGAAGTTTACGAACTTGGTACAAAGGTAGCCCCATGTAGAGAGTGTTACAGAAATCCAAACGAGAAATTATCAGGGCAAGTACTACTGCTTCAAGGTCCTTTCGGTCCAGGTAGGGGCGCAGTTGGCGAATCAACTGAAGTTGATTCCAAGCACTCCTGGCCATTGCATCCACTTGAGATGACAACTGTAGAGATGAGTCCAGGAGTGCTCCCAAACTGCGTACTTTGTCCTTCAGGAGAAGTGTGACCCCATCTAGGACAGGTTGACAAAACTCCCTCCCCGGACCGGGGGTACCTATCGCGAGCACCTCTGTTTTCTCTGGATTCAGCCTGAGCTTGTTTTCCCTCATCCAGCCCATTACTGACCCAAGGCAGGCATCCAGATGAGCACCGCCATCCTTAGTCACCGCAGCAGTTGGAGACATAGAGAAATATAGTTGGGTGTCATCATCATATTGATAACCCCACGCCCCATATCTCCGGATGATCTCTCCCAGCGGCTTCATGTAAATACCTAACTCCCTCAGACATCCCAGAACGATACCATGGTCTATGGTTTCGAATGCCGCTGAGATGTCCAAGAGCACCAACAGGATCACACTTCCCCTGTTGATACTCATACGAAGGTCATCGACTAAGGCAGCCATGGCAGTCTCAACCCTGTATCCTGCCTTGAAGTCAGTTTGAAATGGGTCTAGATAATCAGCTTCATCCAAGACTGCCTGGAGCTGGAAGACAACTGCCCTCTCAATCACTTTGCCCAGGAGTGGTAATAGGGAGACTGGTCTATAATTATTTCTTACCAAGGGATCAAGGGAGGGGTTTTTCAGTAGTTTCACTACCGCTAGTTTTAAACTCGATGGAAATTTGTCCTCCCTGAAGGATGAGTTAATTATAAGCTGTAATAATAATGTTAGAGCATCTCCTCTCTTAGGCAAGCATGCAACTGTCCCCCATGGTTGACTTAATGAAAGGCCTAGGACTGTATCTTTTTAAACAGTTTAAATTCTTTTAAACTGATTGTACCATTTTATTATATGCTGTTCTGACATCTTTGGATAGAAGGAGGAATATAAATAAGTGGTCATTGTTGCGTGCCTTCCAGTTGTTTCCAATTTATGGTGACCCCAAGACACACCTATCATGGGGTTTTCTTGACAAATTTCTCCGGTGGGGGTGGTGGTGGTGGTTGCTATTGCCATCATCTAGGACTGAGAGTGGAACTTGCCCAAGATCACTCAGTGGGTTTTCATGCCTGAGCAAGGATTTGAACCATGGCCTCTTAGAATCCTAGTCCAGCACTCAAACCACTGCACCACACTGACTGAAATAAGTGATACTAGATGTAAAGATTTTTTTTAATGATAAACTTTGTGCACTCATAGAATTCTTTCATGCATGCACAGAAGAGCCTGTAGTGAGTGAACGAAAAAGGCAGGATCTCAGAGGCTTTTTTGGATGCCTCCCATTCTCATCAGTGAGGAGCCAATACTCAGCCTCCAAGTGATTCACTGAAGATCAGATAGGAAGTCTGTGTGCCATACAGCAACCAACTAAAACCCCATGTCCTGAGCTAGAGTTTATTTAATCATTCTTTCCCTACTTTAAAGGAAGGATGTGGGCAAGCAAACTTATTTGCTAGAGCAGCATATAATTGTAGATCCTCAAAACTGCTCCCTAGCCAGAGATGTCTCAAGAACAGGCATTTCCATAATTACTTTTACAGGGCATTCAGCTGCAAAGAAGCACAGGACTTCTGTACCCATGAGTAGTTGTGTAGATGAGTGAATTTCTAACATCACAGCTTATCAAGCATGGCTTAGAGAAACTTTTGTTGTTGTTATTGTGCCCCTTCAAGTCATGTCTGATTTATGGTGAACCTAAGACAAATCTTTCATGGAATTTTATTAGCAAGACTTGTTCACAGGAAGTTTGCCATTGCCTTCCCCTGCAGTTGAGAGCATATAACTTGCCCAAGATCACCCAGTGGGTTTCATGGTTGAATAGGGAATTGAACCCTGATCTCCAGAGTCGCAATCCAACACTCAAACCACTACATTTGATTAAATTCTCTGCTCTTACAAAATATTGTATGTAGAAGGGCAAGTAAAACTAGTATATTAACCAGGCCCCCTGTCCCCGCCATGTTTGAGTTGAAGTACATTGTGATGAGGGGAAAAAATGAAGGTACATTTTGTAAGCTTGATATTTAAGCAAGCAAACACATACACACTTGTAGAAAAAGTGACAGATTATATCTTTTGCAAAGTTCTGCAGCCAATCACAAGCCATTAGCACAAGGAAAATTCCTAACAATGAGCTGCTACTCATAATACTTTTACAGCAGATAAAGGGGGAAAGCTTCCATATAAAATATTAGGACCTTTAATATGAGAGAAAACTGTATGTATCATGCTGTCTCAACAACTACAAGTTCCAGAATTCCTTAGTTCCCACAGGAATGTGCTGGGAACAGGATGTGGTACAGCCGGGGTTGAGGCACAAGTACCATAATGATCAATAGTTGGGGAGGCAGAGATTGCCAGGATTTAAAAGAACCAGAACACATATGAGGAAATGTGTTAGGCATAAAGCCTCCCCAATGCATAGAAAAACTGGTATTAGACCCCAGGAAGCAGTCTCTAAAGGACATTTGTCACTGATGTAGCATAAATATACATCATACAGGAATATGTGCTTACAGATATAAATCAGGCTGCCAAAAATATAAAGAACATAAAGAAAAGGCCACAGATGCTGGTGAAACGTCAGAAAGAAACTCTCCTAGAACATGGCCACACAGCCCGAAAAACCCACAAAAAACTATAGATGCCAACCATGAAAGCCTACGACTTCACATCTCTCCATCTCCTCTCCCAACTCCCTTGATCACATTGTTTCTACTTTCCATTGGGGGGGTGGTCATGGCAGTCATTTCCCTTGGTGAAGGCCTCCTCAGTCACTTACCTCTTATATTTATCAGACACATCCTGAAACATATTTGGTTTTGAAGTTGTCCTTCAGTCAGGCCAGAACTTCTTTGTCTTTTGGCATGTGAATGAATTAGTCATCATCACCATATGCTAGTCACCAGGAAAACTTCCGCAAGATGTTCACTGCCTTCCCTCCCCAGCTACAAGTTTTTCAATTAGTCACAAACTTCGTCCCTAGCAAAAACTGTTATGTTGTTACCATACCCTCAAAAAAAAAATGCATGCTTCCAAGAAGAAGGAGCTGAACAGCATTAACCTCTGTGAACTTACAGCTGGGTCATTCCATAGCTGGAATTCATCAAGCGCTCTGTTCCAAGAGAAGAATAAAAAGGGGGAAAAGCAGAGGACATGTTAGCTCTCTGAGACACTGAGAGGGGCTTGCTTAACCTTTTGACACTTGGCTTTCAATTCCCATTAATACAGTTTGGCAAGCACATTCACCAATGTTATATAGACCCTCCAGGCATTTTGATGGACTTGTCTGCCTACACACATATGACTGGGTCATTTGTAGCCCATGGATGGTCTGAAAGGAGGATATACAGACATGTCTTTGCATAATCACTTTGAAACATTTCTGACTCACCACAGGTTCACATGCTTGCCTTTATCAATAGAAGT